GGACCTGAAATGTCAGCTTTCCTGCTCCTCTGATGCTGCCTGGCCTGCTGCGTTCCTCCAGCTCCACACTGTGTTACCTCTGACTCCAGCATCTGCAGTTCTTACAATCTCAGAGCCATAAGGGACACTCACTTTGCTGTCACTGGGACCTTTGGGCAAGACCAGCTCAGGATCTGCAAGGAGTGAAGCCTACCAACTACTCCTCTTCAAAGCTTCTGTCCCCAAATCCCTCTTCTCAATGTAACTTGTAACTAGTTGCTAACATGCAATAAACTTGGTCTTGTAAATTAAAAGATACTCTTCTAGTTAGCCCAGGAGATGGCTTTTCTCTTGCACACTAGACCAAGTACATTCTCTGGCTTCCTCCTCTTAAAGCAGAGTGTGGCAGCAACTTTACTCATAAGCAGTAACCCATATAATTTAGTAAGCTGGCATAGCCAAACAGCAACTGGCAAAGGCAATATTTGTTATCCATCCCTAATTGCCCCTTGAGGGCAGTTAAAAGTCAACCACATCGCTGTGAGTCTGGAGTCACATGTGGGCCAGAATGGGTAAGGGTGGCAGATTTCCTTCCCTCCAGGACAATGGTAAGCCAGGTGGGTTGGGTATTTTATGACAATCGGTGATGATTGACATGACCTTACTAAGAACCCGCTTTACATTCCAGAATTAATTCATTGAATTTAAATTCAATTTTCAATATTTAGGTATGCCTGGTGGACACAGCCCACCTTATATGAAACAGGAATAATGGGCATGTTCATTGTGAGAATGATTCATTAATTTTACAGAACAATTCAGTGGCACTAAAATAAATGGCAAGCCACTTGCCATTACAGAAGCACTTTGCGTTTGCATTCTTCAACAAAAAAACATATGAAGGGGAGAATGTTCCCAAGTATATTTTCCTTTTCAACTTCTTGGTCTTGCAAAATCTAACCAGAACAACTTCTCCAAGAAGACACATTCTTGTTAGTTAGAGAGAGAAGTCGGGAATCAGGGAGAGGGAACGTGACAATACCAATGGCATTCTTTTAGGAATTAAAGGTTTTGGCACAGCCTGTCCTCAGAGAACAGACTGTTCTCTCCCAGGGGTGAAGACTTGGCCACAGAGCTTTCCAGCAATCAAACCAGCTCTTGACACAAGCACACAAGTTGCTGGAAAAGCTCAGCAAGTCTGGCAGCAACTGCGAAGAAAAAAATCAAAATTAACGTTTCAGGTCCGGTGACCCTTCCTCAGCTCTTGACACAAGTTGTACAGCACTAGTGAACTTCCACAGATTTCTCCCCAGCCTGCCACAGCATTGTGGGGTTGTGAAATGTGCTGAAAATTGAGCTGAGCATTAACTGCGTATATAAGGGGTAATTGCAACTGTTTTACACAACTGCCCCCTTGTGAATGCTGTAGCTATATAACTGAAGCTGTTTCACTTGACACCTTATAACGAAAGTTCCATAGTATCAACATGTCCCACATCTAGGGGATAGCACTCAACTTGACTGCAGACAGGAATCACCTAGGTTTTAACTTACCATCTACCAACTCAGTCTCAAATAAAGCAATAAAAATTTTGTTCTGAAGAAGGGTCACTACAAACTTGAAATGTTAACTCTGCTTTCTCTCCATAGATGCTGCCAGACCTGCTGAGTGTCTCCAGCAATTTCTGTTTTTTTTTGTTTCAGGTCTCCAGCATCTGTAGATGTTTCTTTACAATAAAGATTTTGGGGTGACGCTAGATGCACTGTCCTGGACCTCAGCGATATTCACCCTCCTGTTATCAAGTTGAGTGCTATCCCCCAGATTTGGGATATGTTGATACTATGGAACTTTCGTTATAAGGTGTCAAGTGAAACAGCTTCAGTTATATAGCTGCAGCATTCACAAGGGGGCAGTTGTGTAAAGCAGTTGCAATTACCCCTTATATACGCAGTTAATGCTTCAGTTGGGATATGTACTGGCTAATTACTGGTATATTCCACACCTGTTTTTGGGGGTATCAATGGGCACAAAGTCTAGCAATTCTTACAGTGTGGCAACCTGTACTCAATCCGCACAAACATTTGATCTGCTAAAGTCATGCGGCTCAACCATCCCATTCAACATTCAGGTGTTGGGGCCCTGTGGGTACGTTAACAAGAGTTAGAATCATAGAATTCCTACAGTGCAGAAAGAGGCCATTTGGCCCATTGAGCCCGCACCAACTCTTCAAAGAGCATCCCACCCAATCTCTGCATTAGACCACGGCTAATCCAACTAACCTGCACATCAGTGGACACTACGGGGCAATTTAGCATGGCCAATCCACCTAAACTAGGAATCTTTGGACTGTGGAACAAAACCAGAGTACCCACAGGAAACCCACATGGACATAGGGAGAACGTACAAACTGCACACGGACACCCACCCACTGTTGGAATTGGATCTGGGCCACTGGCACTGTGAGGCAGTAGGGCTAACTGCTGAGCCAGTGTGCCACCCTTCTAACGTCTGTTTTCAGCCCTGCTTTTCAGCTCCCAATCAGCCAGGCTGGTGAGGAAAAGCATTAACAGCATTGAGTTTGTCTCTTCTACCTCCAATGTCTCATTAGGCCTGCTATCTATAGCACAAAATACTTTCTTTTGTATAATATTACACAATATATATATAACGTATACATATATATAAACAATTGATCTCCATAAACAATAAAATATCATCAATTTTTACATGTTTTAAATAAATAATATTTCTTGCAACGGGCTGTTTCTATGTATTTGTGACGAAGCATTCTTCTCCCGACTGCTTTTCCTGTTCTGTGTCAACAGCTCCTGTGGCAGGGTGCCATGTGTCTTAGTAAGTGCATCTGCAGTGGAACAGAAAGAGGATGGTTTAAAGTTTGGAAAATAGAGCAAATCTCCAGCTTTTCAAGACCAGACATTGCTGGAGAAGCTCAGCAGGTCTGGCTGTGTCTGTGGAGAGATAAGAATCCTGAAGGAAGGTCACAGGACTCGAGCGTTAATCATTTGCTCTCCACAGATGCTGCCAGATCTGCTGAGATTTTCCAGCAATTTCGGTTTCTGTTTCAGATTCCCAGCATTCACAGATCTTTCTCCTTTCCAAGAAGGCATTTTATTTTTGTTTTCAATCTTGCTGAAAAGAGAGAAACGTTGCTGAAGCTTTTTGTCATGCGTGCATCAGGACAAATTTAAGAATGACCGAATTTGTATCTATCACAACAATTTATAACACAGGAAAAAGTGCCAATTGATTGGGAAGCCAACTCTGATTGGCCAAGGCATTGCCACGGAGAAGGCAAAAGAGAATTATTGGCTCCCCTGAAGGTTCCAAGTTATTGAAAAAAGGCATAAGACTTCAACATTTTCCTTTCGTTTGCAGAGATTGGATTCCTTTCTATGTTGCTTCCAGCAAAAGTAACTTTTCCATCTTTTACTTCGCAATTTGTCAATGTGAGAAATTGTGATTTGTGAGCATTGTTAGTAAGAGGGATGCATCATAAAAATCATGGATTGATAAGACGTGAATATTTGCAAGGATCCTCTGTGTAACCTGGGGATACCACCCTTTGTGGTTAGTATTCGGGAGGTAAACAGAATCAAGCCCTCAGGACTCCCTTAAACCACGTTCATCTCTAATCAGCAGAAACAAATAAATTCTAGGATATAGCGTTATCTGTTTCATTTGCTGCCATATTCATGTAAGTGTCTGGTCTTCACAAAAAGAATGAAAACTTCCAATCAGATAATCTTCTAGCACAAATGCAGTCCATTCAATCCATTGTAACTGTGCTGGCGCTTTGAAGGAGCTACTCAATTACTCCCATTTCCGTGCTTTTCCGTGTAAATTTATCCTTTTCAAATTTGTATTAGAGTGATAGTCATAGAGATGTACAGCATGGGAACAGAACCTTCAGCCCTGTTCGACCATGCTGACCAGATATCCTAAATTAATCTAGTCCCATTTGCCAGCATTTGGCCCATATCTCTCTAAACCCTTCCTATTCATATACCCATCCAGATGCCTTTTAAATATTGTAATTGTACCAGCCTCCACCACTTCCTCTGGCAGCTCATCCCTTTTACACACCACCCTCTGCGTGGAAAAGTTGCCCTTTAGGGTTCCTTTTAAATCTTTCCCCCCTCAACTTAAACCTGTACCCTCTAGGTTTGGACTCCCCTATCCCTGGGGAAAAGACCTTGACTATTCACACTGTCCATGTCCATCATGATTTCGTAAAACTGTATAAGGTTCCCCCTCAGCCTCCGATGCTTCGGGGAAAATAGCCCCAGCCAGTTCATTTCTCTTTTGAAAGTCACTAATGAATCTGCTTTCACTAATGTTTGTGACAATGAGTTTCTGATCGTAACACACTACAGAGACAAAGTCTTGAGCTCAATGGGTCCACCAGCAGTCTACCACAAGAAATACTTTAGAGTGTGTGTATAACTTTAAGTGAGTCCTCCATCGAACTGTCTGGAGTCTGAAAAACAGACACTAATAGTCAACCCTTGGTCTTTTTCTAACTGAATTACATTCCATAAGAAATGATGAGAACATATCCTATAACTATCCATGTGGCTTAATGTTGAATTACCAGTTGCCACTTAACAGGTCTTGTCTATTTTTCTGGAAAAGCTCAGTAGGTCTGGTAGCATCTGTGAAGGAGAAAACAGAGTTAATGTTTCGGGTCCGGTGATCCTTCATCAGAACTCAAACCTAGTTCTGAGGAAGGGTCACCGGACCCGAAACGTTAACTTTTTCGGCAACTTTGTTTTCCCTGATTTACAGCATCCGCAGTTCTTTCAGTTTTTATTTATTTTTCTACTCCACAACCCATCACACTGTATTGCTAAGAGTGGAGTGGGGGGGCACTGCTATGACTTCAGTATCAATATTTTGAGTCGGTAGACCGCAGATTAAGTTGTAAACTTTTGCTTAGCTGCTCAGATTCACGTTTTAGAATCTGCTTGGTTTCTAGCAGTTCATATTAAACTTCATTCAAATGAAAACAAATGCCTCAGAAATGGCTCAGGTTTGGGGTCTTCAGACTGATCAAATTCACAACGATTCCTCACTATGTAAAAACTTTGTAGATACCGTTAACTAAAGACTTAGGATGGCATTGTGGCTCAGGGGTTAGCACTGCTGCCCCATAGCGCTAGAAACCCAGGTTTGATTCCAGCATTGTGTGACTGTCTGTGTGGAGTTTGCATATTCTGCCTGTTCCTCTGGATGCTCACGTTTCCTCCCACAGTCCAAAGATGTGCAGGTTAGGTGAGTTACCACTGGTAAATGTGGGGTTCTGGAGATAGGTGGGGTGGGGGTGGGGAGGGAGGCTGGCTCTGGGTGGGATGCTGTTTGGAGGGTCAGTGTAGGCTGAATGGCCTCTTTCTGTACTATAGGGATTCTATGACCGTGAAGATCATCAAACATCCCATTACCTTCATGTGATAGATTGATAGGAGCAGTGCAAACAACATGAAGCCAATGCTCCATTTTCAACACTATTCCTATTCATAGCAAGAAGACAGAATGAATCAGTAACATTTTTTGCACAGAGGTCAGCATTTATGGCACATCCCTAATTGGCCTGGAGGAGGTGCTGGCGAGCTGCCTTCTTGAACTGCTGTAGTCTTTGGGATGTAAGGAAACTCACAATACTGTTAGAGAGGCACTTCCAGAATTTGGACCCAGCGATAGTGACAGGTGGTACTTTAGTTCCAATTCAGGATGCTGAGTGGCACAGAGGGAATCTTGAAGCTGGTGGATGTTCCCATTCATTCATTTCTCTTTTCCTTTTCGTAGGTAGAAGGTGCTGTTGAAGGAGGTGATGGCCTAGTAGTATTATCACTTGACTGTTAATCCAGAGACTGAGATAATGTTATGAGGAACTGGGTTCAAATCCCGCCATGGCAGATGGTGGAATTTGAATTCAGTAAATATCTGGAATTAAGAATCTAATGATGACCGTGAATCCATTGTTGATTGTTGGGGGGGAAACCCACCTGGTTCACTAATGTCCTTTAGGGAAGGAATCTGCCATCCTTACCTGGTCTGGCCTACATGTGACTCCAGACCCACCTGCAATGTGGTTGACTCTTAACTGCCCTCTGGGCAATTAGGGATGGGCAATAAATGCTGTCTGGCCAGCAATACCCTCATTCCGTGAACGAATAAAGAAAAAAAAGAGACTTGGTGAAATTCTGCAATGCATCTTGTTGCTGGTACACACTGCTGCTACTGAGCATCAGAGGGGGGAGTGAATGTTGAAGGTGGTGGATGGGTTGCAAATCAAATGGTTGCTTTGACCTGGCTTTTTATTTTAATTCATTCATGGGATATAGACATCGCTGGCCGAGCCAGCATTTATTGTCCATCTTTAGTTGCCCTCAGAAAGGTGGTGGTGAGCAGCAGTCTGTTTAGTGTAGCCAGCCACAATGCTGTTAGGGAAGAAATTCCAGGATTTTGACCAGGAACATGAAGGGACAACAATATATTTCCAAGGCAGGATGGTGCATGGCTTGGAGGGGTCTTGCGGGTGATGATGCTCCCTTGAATGTACTGAATGTACTTGAATTATCCTTCTACATAGTGATGGTTGTTTATTTGGAAGGAGCTCTCTAGGGAGCCTAGGTATATTTCTGCAGTATGTCATGTAGACAGTAACACTGCAGCTACTGAGCATTGATGGCAGAGGCAAGTGAAATGGACTCCATCTCACTTCTGACCCATGGCCTGTAAATGTTGAACTTGCTTTGGGTAGACAAGACGATGAGTTATTCCCTGCAGAATTTCTACACTGCACTGAAAACTCACAATAACAACACAGGCCTAGCACCAATCCAGAGAAGTCTGAAGTATAGGCTCCAATCAAAATAATTTCAAAACAGACAATTGGGTTTTATTTCCAAATCAAACGAGGCCATCTATTGATCTTTAATTTGGGAGAATGGAAAGTGTAAACTTGTGTAGTGCTGTCAGCACAGTCTGTTTGGTATTCATAACTTCCACAGATTCAAATAGAAACAATGATCAGAAAGTGTCAAAGTTGCTGATTTGTTGACCTGAACATGCAGACTTTAGATTTTTCTGGTCTATTCATACAGACTATGACTTCCACTTGTATTGATTGCATTGAGTTGAACTGAATTGAATTGAATTAGCTTTATTGTCACGTTCACTCGAATGAGTTTGTAATGTTGCCGCTTATGGTACTATCTTAGGTACATGATACCTAGGTACAGATGCTTAAGCATCTGACCTACTGCACGTGTATGAGGGTCAGTTGTCTCAATTGCTGTGCTAGCTGGTTACAATGTAGAGTGATGTCAACAGTGTAGGTTCAATTCCTACACCAATTGAGGTTACCATGAAGGACAGTCCTCAGCTGAAGCATATTGACCCTCAGATGAAGCCACTACCAGTTTGTCTCTCCATAATGAGAGTGCAGCCCCATGGTCTGGTAGGACTGCAGTAACTCCATCTTTAATGCATGTATAGACATACTACTCTGTCCTTTCGATGTTAGGGTGATTTCTGGAACTGAAGTTCAGCTGATATTGTTTTTGAATTTTAGTTGACAAGTACCTAATGTGAAGTATGAAAACATTCCAATATCACATGGCTACTTGAACCACAGTGTTAACAGTGACTCATTCCATGTTACACACGGACAAGCAGCACTGTCACCTTCCGAAACCACAGCTGCACCTGTCACAATTTCTGAGAATAAACCCAACTTCAAAAAACTGTGGCAAGGGTTGTTAACTAACCCCGTGTCTAGTATCTTGCATGCTGGTCCCATGGAAGTTACGACTTTAGAAACACACCTGGACATGCTGCATG